ATCAATGTTTCTCTCTCATCGATGTTTCTAACTCTCTATCTCTCTCCCTTCCTCTCTGTAAAAAATCAATAAAATATATTTTTTAAAAAATGATAATTTCATATGCAAAAAACACACACACAACAAAAAATAAAAAAAAAATTGGGACTGCCGTGAAGGTGGGAAAAATAGAGGTCGGAGATGTGAGTAGGATAACAAGGCATATTTTTCATTTTGAATATCTGCAGCTCTTTTTGATGTGCAGAATTTTAAAAGATAGGAAATGTATTCCAGCTGATAAGAGTCATTCCCTGTGGCTAGAGGAGAGGAAAGGTGGAAAGAGAACAGCAGGGAGTTTAATGTAGACAGGCATCACCTCTAATACTGGTATTACTGTGCCCCGAATAGACAATAATCACGTATCGCATGGATAGAAGAGGTTACAATTAAGTTGTTGTCAAAGAACATTAAAGGGAGTAAATCAGGAACCTGAATAGAATGTATTGGTGTGCCACAATACGTCGGATGGCCTGGTTTCCCTTCGTCAAGGGATTTAAAATGCTACACGGGGCTTCTCTCTCGCTATGCTGGCGCTTTTCTATGCGAAGGGCAAGCCTGAACCTTCCAAACAGGTTGGAACCCGGGCTGTCGAAGGCGACAAGGATGTTATTTCTCCGGTACTCAAGTCACCTAAGACATTCATACTGAAGTGTTGCGGCCAAAAGGTAAACTGAGTGGGGGTGGGGGGGGGGGGGGAAAGGATTAAGGAAAAGACAGACAAGAAAAGCTGGGTCTCGGTGGGACGCTGCTCCCTGATGAGGAGACAGCGCCAGCGCCCACAAGCCATGTCTTTATTTTATAGCAGATTCCAAGAGGCAAAGTAGGGGCATGATCACGTTGTTTACAGCATTCTCGTGAGTTTCAACCTCACTCAACTATATGCACCTGAACTCTACCACAAGGCACTTGGGGCCACCTGTTTGGACCATAGGTTCAAGCTTACTACCACAGCCGTTGGCTATGATTGTGCTGGGTGGGCCCTGCCCTCCAGCTGGGACTTGCACGTGGCAATGAGAGGACCCTGTCCTTTCATTAGTCCGAGGCTTGGACCTGGCCAAAACAACGTAACAGGATTTTAAAAAGATTCCCAGGTGATTCTACTGTGCAGCCGAGGTTGAGAACCACTGCTCTAGGCTGACCTTCAAGGCACAGGTGGTGATGCTCCAGGAGAGCGGCCAGGTGGTGGCTCGCCACACCACCGAGTCATTAGACCTGAGACCCAGAGAAGTTAGCTTCCGCTGCCTCCCAGACGCCCAGCACGATTTGCCCGTAAAGCTAAGGAATCGCTGGGTACGTCATCAAACCCGACACCACATCAAACTACACCCCAGACCCAGATCCTCGTCTAACTTCGCGATTGGCCCTTTTGGCCTCCACTCAGAGGCCGGTGACTCTCCTGGCGCATGCGCGTCACCTGCTTCCGGCCGGGTGCTCGGTGCGCAGGCGTTTCTGGCCCGGGTGCAATTCCTACCCCGCTTTCCTCGGCTAGGTTCCTCCGTGTGCTATGGCTCCCGACCCAGGCCCCCTGCCCGAAGGGCCTATCTTAGAGCTCCTACCCGTAGACACTCGGGACCGGGGTACCCAGCGTTGCCGCCTGGGCCCGGCAGCCTTCCGTGCCCTGGGCGCGCACTTGGGCTCGGCGGTGAAGATCTCG